GGGGGGGGGGGGGGGGGGGGTGGGGGGTCGGTGCACAATTTTTTCATGGAGCACGACGCAAACGCATCGACCCCAACCCCACACACCCCCCCCCCCCCCCACCCCCCAACTCAGCCCCCCCCCCCACCCCACCCCCACACCCTGACCGACTCGTTGTGTTCGGGGTTTGGGGCTTGCAGCTTAGCTTAGGGACCACGCAGATGGTGCCAGATTTCGCAGAACGCAGGAAAACTACAACCCCCACCTCTCATTGTCTAACTCCCCCCCCCCTCCCTTACACCCCCAAAAAGCTTGCAGGACCGCGCCACCCGCACGACGTAAACGCATTGATCAGAGGCGGTTCAGAGGGCTCCTTTGGCAAAACCCCTCCAAACCCCCCCACCCCCCCCTACCCCCACCCTCCCCCCCACCCAGAAGGTTGCCTGTGTTGCAACCTTGCCAACCACTCCAACAGTTCGAAGCCTCTACCCCCCCATTCCCACAACACGTCCTCAAACCCCCGAACCTTGGTTTAGGTGTAGAGTTTGGCGTTTAGGCTTTAGGGTAACAACAATTTCCGGCTTTGAGGGTTGAGAGGTTTCGGGCCTCTTGGGTCGGCGGCCTGAGCCGGAGGCTCCTAAATTTGGGGTTTAGGGTTTAGGATTTAGGGTTTAGGGTTTAGGGTTTTGGTTTCGGGTTCCAGTGGTTGCTTTCGGGGGTTTGGGTCTTCAGGGTTGGTGAGGCTTTTGGGCATTGAGTTCTCCGCACCACCGGTCCTGTTTGGCTCGAGAGTTTTGCAGAAAGCCTAGAAGCCCCCAAACTCCTAAGCCCCAAACTTCCCCAAACCCCGAAAGCTTCGGGTTTCGGGTTTAGGGTTTAGGGTGTCAGAGTTCGGGGCTTAGAGTTTCGGGGTTTGGTTATGGCTTTACGGCTGCGACATGACCCCCTCATGGTGGGAGAACTTGGCGTGCGGCTTGGCCCCACTTCGCCGGGCCGCGGAACAAACCCTGCAGGCCATCCTGGGCGTTGCTGAGCTTCCGCTCCCCCCGCCAACCAGGAAGTTGTTTTAGGTTTTCGGGTTGAGGGTTTAGGGTTTAGGGTTTAGGGTTTAGGGTTTAGGGTTTGGGGCTTAGGTGCCAGGTTGTGGGGTTTCGAACTGAGGGTTTAGGGCTTTAGGGTTTGGGGTTTCGGGTTCACTGTGAGGAGAAAAGAGCCATGCCGCCCCTTCCGGTTTCAAACCCTAAACCCTAAACCCTAAGCCCTAAACCCTAAACCCTAAACCCTAAACCCTAAACCCTAAACCCTGAACCCTGAACCCTGAACCCCTCCCCCTCAGGTCCAGCCATTCCCTGCCTAAACTGGTCGGGTTGTGAAGAGCCCCTCCTCGACTCTGACCCGCCCTAGGCTGCAGACACGCAGAACCTCCTATCGCTTAGGATGTAAGGTTTAGGGTTTGGGGTTTGGGGTTTGGGGTTCAGGGTTTAGGGTTTTGGGGTTTGGGGTTTAGGGTTTGGGTTTAGGGTTTGGGGTTTAGGGTTTGGATTCAAAGAACAAGGAGCTAGGGAGTCGCTGCACAGCTCCAGAAGCGCCACGCCGGCGCCCTGGACCCTGGCAGGGTGGGGAGGCTTGGGGTTTGGGGTTTAGGGTTTAGGGTTTCGGGTTTAGGGGTTTAGGGTTTAGGGTTTAGGGTTTGGGGTTTGGGGTTTCAGGCTTAGGGTTTAGTTTAGGGTTCAGCATCTCAAGTCCAAGCATTCACTAGTCAAGCAATTACTCCAGGAAAATACCCACCCGCCCAAAGAATCCAAAAAAATTAAGAAAATATTTCGCTTATAGAACGACCTTGCCCCGCAAAAAATGACCTTGCCCAGTAAAAAATGACCTTGCCCAGTTAAAAAAGGACCTTGCCCAGTAACCCTCGTTTTTTAGACCGAACGACCTTGCCCAGTAAAAAAATTTCCTTGCCCAGAAAAAAATGACCTTGCCCAGTAAAAAAAAATGACCTTGCCCAGAAAAAAATGACCTTGCCCAGTAAAAAAATGACCTTGCCCAGCAAAATAATGACCTTGCCCAGTAAAAAGACGACCTTGCCCAGTAAAAAAATGACCTTGCCCAGTAAACAAATGACCTTGCCCAGTAAAAAACTGACCTTGCCCAGTAAACAAATGACCTTGCCCAGTAAAAAAGTGACCTTGCCCAGTAACCCTGTTACTGGGCAAGGTCATTTTTTTACTGGGCAAGGTCATTTTTTTACTGGACAAGGTCTTTTTTTGGTGTTCGGGTTGGCCAACCCTAGGCCCTGGCACGTCGGGTTTAAGGTGGACTCAGGGGTTTAGACATCCAAAAAGACCAAAATAAATCGAGGAAGATACCTTACCCCAAACCCGAGACCCGAAACCCTAAATTCAAGGGCTATTGGGCTCTGCTGGAATCAGAGTTTCAAGGTTGGAGGCTTTTGTGATTGCGGGCTCTCCGGGCGCAAGGTTGAGCTTGGGACACTTTGGCCGTTTCGGGTTTTAGGGTTTACGGGTTTTGGGTTTTGGGTGTGGTAACGTTGTTTGCGTGAGCTAAAAATTGGATGTCACGGGCCCACTCCCATGCGCGCGTCGCGTGGCTGTACACCCACCCCAAACCACCCGGCGAATGGTATGTTTTTGGTCCTAAAGTTCTGGCTCATGGTCTTATCTGCCGTGGAGGCCCCTCATTCAGACAGCAACGGTGGTTGTTGTCACTCGGTACGAAGGGCTGGCCGCCCCGGCTTGACCTCCGCGTTAGGCCGAAGGCCGGAGAGCCGTCTTTTGGGCGTGGGAGAGCACCCTCCTTGGCTCAGGGCTGGCCGGAAAACATTGCCAAACTGGTCTTCCCGGATAGGCTGGGGGTCACCAGCAAAGTCCTTGGGTGCGTTTTGGTGAAGACCGATCGGGAGAACCGAAGCGCTCCCGTACCGAACCCCCAAACTGGCTGGAAAAACGGCTCTGCCGCCGGGCTGCCAACCTGGAGCAAGCCCTCCCTAGCTCCACCGCCCCAGCTGGCTTCGGGCTCTCTCGTGGTGCTAGCGAGCCCTCAACCAGGGTTTAGGGTTTAGGGTTTAGGGTTTGGGGTTTCGGGTTTAGGGTTTAGGGTTTCGGGTTTAGGATTTAGGGTTTACTGGGCCTGCCCGAGAAGGACACATCATGTGGCTCCGGGGGTGCTAGAAGCACACGGGAGCCCAGCATGGCGCGGGCAGAGTCAAGCTATATCATAGCGAAAGCAGAGGCCCATGTAAGTGTTAAGAATATCTTGGGGTGGTTTCGTACCATGATGATATGAAGTACTTTGGAGAGCTTTACTTGCCAGTATCCCCACCAGGATATCCGATGTCTGGTCATATGCTCTGCGGACGCAGCCGGCGTTGTAGATGTCAGACTTCCAGACCCACTCAATGTCTACAAATGCAGACAGTCAAAGGGTGCTGCAGACTGTTGTGTAGGTTCCTGCACCTTCCATGTTGCTCACATGCAATCTCACTAAGGACGTGATCCTAAACATTGAGGACACAGAACCGCACAAAAAAAATTTTTGGAGCGTTCTTCACCAGATGCATGTCAAGTCAGACCTCCCATGCTCCTGGTACCTTGGAGTAGGTAGTGATAGCACGCGTGGCGATGCAAAGAGAGAGAGAGGGAGGGAGGAAAGGAGGAACTAAAGGGAGACTGCGAGGAATCCTCCTAAGCCCTTTTCACGGAAAACATGTGAAAGCATCTGGCAGCCCACTTTGGGTTTCAGGGTTTCAGGGTTGGTAGATTCCAGCGGGGAAAGAAGTCCTGTCATCCAAGCTTGCTAACCCTAAACCCTAAACCCTAAACCCCCCTAACCCCACGCGTCTTTCTCCGCGCACGGCTTCGCAGTGCATGGCCTCAGAAGCGCCGTTCGTGCATTGTACGACTTCGCATATCTGGCCTCGACATGGTACAACACACGTCCACGCAGCAGCTGGAGAAAAACGAAAAGGAAAAAAACACACAATAAAAACCCAAATATAATCAAAGAATCACGGTACCGAAGTCTACCCCCCGCCCCCCCCCCAAACCCTAAGGCCTAAGCCTTAAGCACCTAAACCCAAAACCGTCTGCAAGCCTTGTCGTGGACAGGGTGAGACTTTTCAAGAGACTTTTGCCTCTGGGGCTTCGGCCCATTTGAAAACTCCAAAATCTCGGCCCCAGGTTTCCATTGTGGAATAGGGTTTAGGGCTTAGGGCTTAGGTTTTGAGTTAGGGGTTTAGGGTTTAGGGTTTAGCGTTGAGGGTTTTGCGAAAAAGGGTTGAGGGTTGAGGCTTGGACTTGAGGCTTGAGGCTTGAGGCTTGAGAATCCCCAGGAAAATCCCAAGGAATATTGTAATAAGGTTGCTATGACTATTGTATGGTGTTGTATGAAATGGTGTATAAACTGTGTAGAAATTGTAAACGTTGTACCATATGGTACCATCTTGTATAGTACAGAAGATAGTCCGATTCCTGCACATATGAGGGTTTGTATAGTATTGCATAAGATTCCAAACCCTGAACTGTAAACCCTATACCCTATACCCTAACTCCTAAGGGATTCAAGAAGGACCGATGGATTCAGATCGATCACTGCAAGGTGCAACACTGCGGGGCACTCCGCACGATCATCGTTGCATTGGCGCGCGGCTGTCAGAGGAATCTCAGGCTGCCAAACCCTAAACCCTAAACCCCAACCCCTAAACCCTAAACCCTAAACCCTAAACCCTACATTATGAAGCACATTGTGGCAGCTGGCAGCGCGTGCTGTAAGCCCTGCCGTAGACCGAAATACTCCCCAGGAGCAGGGCACCAAGATCATGAGCTTGTTGGGTTTAGGGTTTAGGGTTTAGGGTTTAGGGTTCAGGGTTCAGGGTTTAGGGTCCCAAACCCTAACTCAAATAACAAGAAAAGCCATGTGGAGTGCGCTGCAACATCGGACATGCACTGGCCCGGGGGGCCCTGCTTTGGGGAGGTTCTGCGAAGATCTTTCACTCTTTTGCCTCAGTAGCTGACGGTGGTGAGCCGATCGGCACCTCGTGGATCCGTCGGAGCACTCGCTTCGGATCGGAAGCTCCTGGAAACCATACCTATACTGAACTTGGAACCCCAGCAAAAATTATTTTTTGGGCTGTTTCTTAGGAATTATAGTACCCAAAAATTAAAAAAAAAAAAACACTTCCAAGTACCCCTATAAGAGACTGGGTTGTCGTGACATGTCTGCCAGCATCCGCTTGACGTGCTCGCTCGTCTCCAGGATCTTCCGGACCTCCTGCGCCCTGCCGGCTCCCCGCAGCCGAGACACGCCGTTCACAAGCTCGTCTGCAGAGAGCCGCCCATCCCCACCTCGGAGAGCCCCTTAAAAACCCTCTGAACAATATTCCGGAATATCCCTCCTCTTAAAACCCAATAAAGGGAGAAGAATATACCAAAAATGTTCCCCTAAACCCTAAACCCTAAACCCTAAACCCTAAACCCTAAACACCGAGCCACTGGTGTCGAGCGCCTTAAAGAGCTCCTCCGCATCGGAAACGTCGAGCTCCATGGCCGAGAGCCACACCTTGACTTCGTGCTTCTTGGGTTTGGGGGCTTGGGGGGTTTGGGGGCTTTGGGGGTTTGGGGGTTTAGGGTTTAGGGTTTAGGGTTTAGGGTTTAGGGTTTAGGGTTTAGGGGTTAGGGGTTAGGGTTTAGGGTTTAGGATGGTTTAGGGTTTAGGGTTTAGAGCCATGCCTTGACTTCATGCTTCTTGAGGATGCGCTTGAACTCGTTCAAGTCCAGCGTGCCATCTCCGGAAGTATCCGCTTCGTGGAAGAGCTCGGACATCTTCGCCACGTGCGCCTTCATCGTCCGCATCTTCTCGCGCACCATGACCTGGTTCACTTTTGGTATAATATTCAATTTTTATTTATTGGGTTTAAAATACACTTAAAAATGTAAAAAGTTACCCAACTATGACAAAGTCACGGTGTCATCCAGGTAGGCGACCTTGAAAGTCTCCTGCATCAGAACCGCGTTGATCACACCAAGCACGGCAAAGCCCACCGTCAGCTTGTGGAGGAGGCAGGGAATCAACCACCACTCGCCGACCTCTTCCACAAGCAGCCGGCAGACTGGAATCCAATTGGCCAGGGTTAGCCTGCATCGAGCGATTTGTTAACGGGTAAAGAAGAAAAAATGGGGGGGTCTAAGCGCGTTAAGACTTGAACAGGCTCTTCTACAAAAGACCGAAGGAAACACCGTCATGAAAGCCATAATAAGGTTTTGTAAAAACAGCTATATATATTCAATCGAAGAAAAGAGAACAGAACAAAATGGAATAGCATAGGTTAAAAATAGAAAATGGTATTATAACAATTTTGGTAATACACTAGTATAATAACTAATATAGTAATATCGTCATATGTTCAAATACAAATGCAACAGAATATAATACAATATAAGATTATATAAAATAATATCATATAACATACGACAATGAAATATAATATATAAATAGTAATAATACAATATAATATAACAAAAATAAAATATAATATAATGTAATATAGTATAATATAAGATAATATAACATAATATAGAAACAAAAATGTCAATTTAAATAAATATAAATATACATACAAAATATAAACAAACATATATATATATTATAAATATAAATTAACATATAAAATTAAAAATATGAATAAACACAAAAATAAAAAAATATGAATAGAAATATACGTACCAATGCAAATACAAATATAAGACTAAAATTGATATAAAATATAAAAATAAATATACATGGAAAAGAAACATAAATATACATATATATATATATATATATAAGTACAAAGACAAATATGCATATAAATACAAATAAATAAATAAATATATATATATATTATGAAAATAAATATAAATATCATATGGTATAACATAAATATAGAAACACAAATATTGAGAGAAAAAAAGATAGCACAAACATACAAAAAAAAAACGTAACAGTATAGCATGATATAGCATAATGCAGTATAACTTAATATATTCGAACCTGTAAGCATCTAATATCATGCCATATCACTCATATCACATGTCATAAAGTATGACATATAAAGGAAAAAACGAAGCACAGCCCGGCAGCTCGAAGAGTGACAAGAAAGAGCGGCTGAAGGTCCCAAAGTACGTGAAGACGCGTTGCTGGGCCTCCTGTTTCAGAGCGTTTAGGGTTCGGGGTTTGGGGTTCGGGGTTTGGGGTTTGGGGTTTAGGGTTTGGGTTTAGGGTTTAGGGTTTAGGGCTGTTCAGTGTCAGGGTTGAGGGGTTCAGAGCGCGGAAGCTTGCGTGATTCAGGATACCTCGGACTCCCTACACGCAGAACCCCCCAACGCCTGGTTCTCCGCGTCCGCGGTGAAGTAGTAGCCGAACAAGATCTGCTGCACCACCAGAGCCAGGAGGAGATGGCAGATGAAGAGAAGGGCCATGGTCCACCCCAGCACCGTGATGCTGCTCTTGATGGCCGTGGTCATCCTTACGCTTGGCTTTTGGGAAGGAGGGAGTGAGCCTATACCTCCGATAGATATATATATATATATATATAGATATATATATATATATATAGATATATATAGATATACATATAGATATATATAGATATATATAGATATATATAGATATATATATATATATATATACATATATATATATATATGCCCTTTCAGGGATTATTACAGGGTACCTCACTCCCTGATTCCCAGCAGCAGGAAGAGAGGGTCGAACTCCTGGATGCTGCGAACCAGCCGCAGAAGCCGGAGCAGCCGGAAGATGCGCCCCAGGCGCCTTACTGTTGGTTAGCAGGGTTTAGGGTTTAGGGTTTAGGGTTGTTTAGGGTTCAGGGTTTAGGGTTTAGGGTTTGGGGTTTGGGGTTTAGGGTTTAGGGTTTAGGGTTTAGGGTTTAGGGTTGAGGGTTGAGAGTTTAGAGTTTAGGGTATAGGGTACCTCCAGCAGTAAGGCGCAGGATCTGGCTGTTGAGGGGGAGGGTCGTCACCAGCTTCTCAAGCAGCCAGACGGCGATGATGATGAAGTCCAGCCAGTTCCAGAACTCCTTCCAGAAGCATCTAAGGCTTTTTGAATAACAGAAATACGGCTTAGGGTCTTCTAACGTTAAGCAACCCCCCCCCCCCGCAAGTTCCAGAACTCCTTCCAGAAGCCGAGCCCTTCGGCGAAGAGGCGCACGCAGACCTCGACGGTGAAGGTGATGCCGAAGGCCAGCTCCAGCGCGGAAAACATGCTTCCAACGCGGAGCCACTCCTTCAGGGCGGGGTTGAGGGTTTAGGGTTTTGGGTTTAGGGTTTAGGGTTTAGGGTTTGGGGTTTAGGGTGTAGGGTTTAGGGTTTAGGGTTTAGGGCTTAGGGTTTAGGGTGTAGGGTTTAGGGTTTAGGTGTTAGGGTCTAGGGTCTTTTGGGTCTTTTGGGGCTTTGGGGAGCCACGTGCCACGCCTCAGACTCCGTTCCGGCGGACTGCTCCATGCTGGCAGCGTCCGCGAAGGCCCAGCCGCGGTACTGCGCCTCGACGGCGAAGACTAAGGCGTTGCAAAAGATGAGAAAGCTCCTTGGGTGGTTTAGGGCTTAGGGTTTAGGGTTTAGGGTTTAGGGTTTAGGGTTTAGGGTTTAGGGTTTAGGGTTTAGGGTTTAGGGTCTCATAGGTTTAGGGTTTAGGGTTTAGGGTTTAGGGTTTAGGGTTTAGGGTTTAGGGTTTAGGGTTTAGGGTTTAGGGTTTAGGGTTTAGGGTTTAGGGTTTAGGGTTTAGGGTTTAGGGTTTAGGGTTTAGGGTTTAGGGTTTAGGGTTTAGGGTTTAGGGTTTAGGGTTTAGGGTTTAGGGTTTAGGGTTTAGGGTTTAGCCCAGAGTTTAGGGTTTAGGGTTTACGTTTTAGGGTTTCGAGGCACGCGCAGACTTAGGTGTCCAATATCGGGGAACTTGGGACTAACCCTTTGGGAGTCTAGAGGGATTCCGATATCCCAAAAAAAGGAAGACCCAAGGTTGCCATAGCCAACTACGAAGGCTCATGAAGCAGTCCACCGCCGGGAGCTTGATGCATTTTGCCAAGAAAGGTCTTAGGTGGCCCTCCCACTTCCTTAGGGGCTGAAGACCCGAAAGCCCTCACAAAAAGTTTGCCTTTTTATTTGTTATTTATCTTTAATTAATTATTTATCTATTCATTCATTTAGTGTACATTTTTTATAGTAGTAGGATTCCATAGATCACCCAAAAAAACCAGGTTATAAAGGCTGCCTCTACCAACAGCTCCCCCGAGCTTCAAGGCCGAGGTGGATCTCCACTTCTTCTGCTTGTTCAAGCCCCGCTTCTTCCTTAGGTGCTGAGTTTCCTAGGGTTTAGGGTGTCGGGTTTAGGGTTTAGGGTTTAGGGTTTAGGGTTTAGGGTTTAGGGTTGAGGGTTAGGGGGATTTTTCGTACCCAAAAAGGCTAAAGGCTACCCACCCAACACCTAAGCTTCGCGGAGTGCCACACCTTCGAGATGGGGCTGGTAGGCGAGTCCACCGTCTCCTGTAGGGGTTTTCCGAAGTTTAGGGGGGGGGGGTACCTTACTTTGATTTTGTTATTGTTATAGGGGAATATAGGGGAATCCTACTCTTCTTGGGGGAGTCAAAATTCGAGGGGCCCCGGATTTTTCCGTCAGCTCCCTCCTCTTCCGAGCCTGACCTCTCGACTTGCTCACCCGGGGCGTCGAGATCCTGCTTGCTCTGCTTGCCTTACTTCTCTCTCCACACGAGCCCAAAACGACTAAAAACTGCGTGGATTCTTGCCACGTAATAAAAAAAACCAACAAAAGAAGCTTTACAGCTCACCACCACTCGCGAAGTCCGAGCTGCTCTGCTTGCTGAGCCGGCTCCCCTGCTTGCTGATCCTGTCCTCGATGTCGCCGAGGACTTCCATTTGCGCGCTGTTGCTCCTCGTGTGGTAGCCCCCGTAGCCATATTGCAATAAGCGTGCCCTTCTTTGGGGGGTTCGCTAATCCATACGGGAACCTTGAAAAAAAAGGGAGAAGCGTGCCACTGGAGGACTAAAGTCCTTTGGAGGCTGCGCACCTGTTCCCGGAGCGTCTGCACTTCCAGGAGGTGAGCAGAATGCAGCTGACCGAGCAGTGCTTCGAACTCATCCCCGTCGAAGGGCGACATCGAGAGAGGAACGGCTGTGTGTGTGACCCTAAAAAGCCCTAAACCCTAAAAAGCCCTAAACCTTAAAAAGCCCTAACCCCTAAAAAGCCCTAAACCCTAAAGAGTTGCAAAAAATGCAATTTGAAGCCCTCAAATCCCCTCCTTTAACAGATGCCTCCAGCGGTTCTAGTGACATTCTGGTGGTTGGTCGCTCTTGCCATTGGTCGCTCCTGTTGTTGTCGTTGCTTCTAACGTAAACCACGCCAATTGTCGGACAGGCACAAGAGACATCTCAAGCGAGATTCCGAATCCCTCAACCTTGAACTTAGGCCACGGAAGTAAAACAATGCTTCTTCCCAACATCCGAAACCCTGAGATTGCACCTGCAAATGAGGAAGACGTCGCCGATCACACTAGAACGCCAGATCATGAATCGGTTCATTTACATATTTACTCGGTGGGCCCTCTGATTCTCATTTAGCAACATTAAACTCATCGAACCTGTTCAGTTCCCTCTCCTCTTTCAAGCCAGGCATGTGCATGAAATGGGAGGTACCAGAGCCACTTGCGGCCACGCTAGAACAGTCCTCTACGAGGCACCGTCACATGGAAAGTTGGCTACACGTCCTGATGTTGGGGGGCAGGTGGTCGACAGAAGAAAGCGTTTGTGGTGGCTGTGAGTCTAGGGCGCAAACAACCCTGATGTGAGGATGGTTTTCTGCACACCCGCTTTCGAATTCAAACAGTAATGAAATGAAAAATTGTCAAAGTTCGAATCATCCTTGTTACAGCGATGAGCACGTTATGGCCTTGCAGCGTCGATGGCACCACCCTGGCAAGTTCAAAATTTTGGGTTGAAATGGACGCGGTACATGTGCCACACAGGGTATGTACGTATATACACTTTTTCAAGAGGAAGCACCCTCGTCCAAAGCAAACTCTTTACTTTATCAAAAGCAAACACGCTACTTCGAAAACCCTCAGTGAAAACAAATTGCATTGCTGACTTTTGCATGCATCGCACAAACGTCTGACAGTCACGACAGATGCTGCAGGCTTCGCAAGACTTCAAGTTTCGTGTTTGCCATCCATGCCTGTGACGCTCGTGCAGATAGCTGCATTGCAAAACGAAGTCTCGCCACGTTCATGCTTTTAGGCACTTGTCTATCCCGTCATACGCTGGGCTGCATCATTCTATGACTCAGTGCACGTGTTTCATCGCACATTGGAAGAATTCAAACGACAAGAAGTCAACCTGCTGCAGGGCGGGCGGGTCGTCGTACACGGACTCGTCTCGCGGTTCAAAAAAACATTTCGCAGTTCCAAAGCTGTCACACCCTGCGTGAAATCTGCACCTTCTCATCCGCCTCTCTAACAGCCTAAGCCCGGAAGACCCCTATCGGCCCTACTAGACCCACGCCCCTGAATGCCAAGCACGATTCAGCTCTTCCCCTAAAGCGTGAATGGTCAAAGAGCCTAAACCCGCAACCCCAAAATCCTCAACCCTACAAGCCCCAAAAACAAGTGCCTAAACCCCTTTTTGACCCTACTCCACCCCGCAAACTAAACCTGAACCTGAAGCGTAAGAATCTCAAATTCTGAGCTCTAAACCCTTGGGCGCGCAAAATGGGCACGATGTCAGGTGGGATTTGTGAGATTTCTGAGGTCACTTGAAGCAAACGCGGGAGAGCAACTCCTGCAGTTCTTAAAAGTGTTTTTAGGAGCAAGATGACCCCCCACCCCCATTCTTAGCGTAGATTCGTAGATGTTGCAGGATTGGTGCACGAGGGATGGTACAAATGTAGCGGAGTCGTGTCTTCCCCGGTTCAACCATTGTGTATTTAAAACGGGCTCACCTCAACTCCGCTGCCGTTTTAAGGGGAATTCCACCTTGGAAGGACTCCGCCGACACCGCTTACACACCGACTCCGCCCAAATATGTAACTCGCATGCCTTTTTTTCAGTGCTCAGTTATGAACTAATTGAATGACATAGATCCAAAGCAAGGGCAATAGATTGGTTGCACTCGATCTCGGCCAAGGCTGATATTCCTGGGATCGTTTTTTCCATTGTACCTGGGAGGTCCGGGCCGGAGGTCTCAGTTCTTGACATAAGTTCCGACGCCAAATTCAGCGCCGCAAACGCTTCTTTGCCATCTTCGCACTTCGCGCCAAGATAGAAACACCTGAGTTCAAGCAATAAGCACTGAAAAAAAAGCATCCGAGTTACATATGTGGGCGGAGTCGGTGGAGTTCACGTAAGCGGAGTCGACGGAGTCCTTCCAAGGTGGAATTCCCCTTAGAACGGCAGCGGAGTCGAGGTGAGCCCGTTTTAAATATACAATGGTTTTTAAACCGGGGAAGACACGACTCCGCTACATGTGCACCATCCCTCGTGCACCAATCCTGCCATCTACGCTAAGACTCTATGGGGTGGGGGGTAATCTTGCTTCCTGTGTCACTTTTTAAGAACTGCAAAGCTGCGCAAAAGTTGCCTCCGTGTTCACTGCAAGTGACCTCAGAAATCTCACAAATCCCACCTGACATCGTGCCCATTTTATGCGCCCCAAAGTCCCCCTAGGTTCACGGCCGATCCGTTAATCGTCAGCCGACACCGCGCCAGACGTGAACCTACGGTGAGAGGAAGTAGGAACGACACGAGGACTCAGCGTCCGTCATCTGGCCTATATGGGAAATCTGGGCCCCACTTCTGGGGCTAAATTTTGACCCAGTTCCGACGCCAAATTCAGCGCCGCACAAGCTTCTTTGCCATCTTCGCACTGCGTGTGAAGATAGAAACGCCTGAGTTCAAGCAATAAGCACTGAAAAAAAGCCAAGCAACCCTGGGGGCCAGTGAGGTGAGGAACCAGAGCTCAGCGCCAACTAGGTTGGTATACTGTGGAGGTCACGTGACGCGTCCGACGTTTCTTATGTTTTTTGGGGTCTTGAAACTGCACTCAAGTGATGAGACATATGCAGCATTGTTCTTTAATCGTCTCGACAAGTGTCGTCAGAAAAGATCAATGCTTTCTAGAGGCAGGCAGATCATAAGGTTGACATTTCGCTGTTCAATGTTAGAAATATATTTGACAGGTTGTGACTTGCTCCCACCTCCGCCGCCGCCCATGCAACCGAAACCCCAGTCTTCTGCCACCATTGAACAGCAGATTGTCAACTTTATGATTTTGCGGCTACGGGCATAACCTGTCGGTTGACACTTCAACAAGAACAAGACCACTGTTGGCAAAATAACACAGTGATTATGCATCGAAGCAAAAGCTGCACGAAAACCGTCACTGTTAGAGCGTGAACGCGCGAAACCGAGCTTCTACGCATACGACGAAACTGCGCGGAT